GGATTCACCCGTTGGCCAGGCTGTTCTCTAACATCCATGACTCAAGTGATCACTGCCTCAGCCTCCCAAAGTGCTGTGATTATAGGTGTGAGTCACCCCACCCGGCCAGGAGGGTCTACATTTAATGTCAGACATGGCCCCTCTCTTACAAGAGTAGGTCGACAAGTCCAATGGGGTTTGAGATGCACAGAGGGACACGCATCACAATGCAGAGACTCCGATCCAGTCCACTCTGAAAAAGATCCAGCTCCCCAGAGCTGAGGACCCTCACAACCCCCTTGAACAGGGCCCGGTGTTCTGGGAATGTTCAACTCGAGTCTGCTTCCTCACTCGGCCTTCCTCTGGCTTATGGTACAGCCTGGACCACCTTGGGTCTGTATTGGGTCCCAGCCTTTTGCTATGGGTGCTGCTTCTGTCCATCCAGCATTTGGTGCCCATTATGTGTTCATCATCTCTGAGCTGCACCATACTGGCCTTGCTCAGCAGGAACAAAAGTACCACCAGGCTCCTGAGACCTGGCCGGAGGGCTTAGTAGCACTTGCTTAAATCAAGGACAGAAGGGAGGACACTCAAGCCACAAAGAGCCAAAGACCCCAAAGCAGAAACAGACATGAGTCATGTGCTGGGAAACACACAATGTGGCCAGGTAAGCTCTACACCTAGGGTTCAAAAATAGGACTCCACAGGAAACAGAGAACCTTTCAAGGTTTTTGGAGTAAGACTAGATGAGTAAAAGAACACTGAAGGAAATATCCCACACCAGAGGATACTAAGGCAGCAACATAGGTGATACAGTTTGGCTCTGTGTCCCCACCCAAATCTCAGCTTAAACTGCAATCCCCATAATCCTCACGTGTCAAGGGTGGGACCAGGTGGAGGTAACTGGATCATGGGGGCGGTTCCTCCATGCTGTTCTAGTGATAGTGAGTTCTCATGAGATCTGATGGTTTTATAAGCCTCTGGCATTTCCCCTGCTTGCACTTCTCCTTCCTGCCGCCCTGTGAAGAAAGTGCCTGCTTCCCCTTCCGCCATGACTGCAAGTTTCCTGAGGTCTCACCACCTATGCTGAACTGTGAGTCAATTAAACCTCTTTCCTTTACAAATTGCCCAGTCTCAGGAAGTTCTTTATAGCAATATAAAAACAGACTAATACAACAGGCAACGTAATAATGGTTAAGAAATCATGGTTCTGAACAGATTCCCATCTCTAAGACAGGCAAACTCCTTAACCTATTATAGGAGCCAGTTTCATTCTCGGTAAAGTGGGGACACTAATGCTTATCTCCTTCAATTGTGAGGATAACATGAAATAACATGTAAAGGCTTCCAAGAGCCCTGGTTCACAGTACACACACCAGCGCCTGCAATCACAGTGAGGGGCAGCAACAGCAGTCAGAGAATTACAGCAGCACAATACACATGTGGCCCTTCCATCTGTAAAAGGTGTCCTGCACACTCAGAAAGACATTCTGGTCAAAGTATATTTCTAAGTTATTTCTTTCAAGATGCAAAAGCTGTAAGAAAAAAGTGTTACTGACCTGCATGGGCCATCCCTTCACAGTGTTACCTGAAGCTGTTGTCAGAAAGAATGAGGATAAGAATTGACCTTTTATGGTCTGTTTTAGAGGTAATATTTTTTACGAAATACAAACTTGCTAATCAGTAGTGGGAGTCTGCCTATGAATAGCCACTATGCTCCAGCCTGGGTAACACAGCAAGATCTCTTCTTTAAAAAACAAACTTCATCATAAAAAAGAATCTTCGCTTTTATGATAATACCCACCCCACTCTCTCCCCAACCAAAAAAATAAAAATAAAAAATAATCACAGCCAGTGTCAGCTAAGTTCACTCGAGTCTGTCCCTGGGCATCCATCTCTATTAAGAACCAGGAATAAAACAAAGCAGATTTTTGAAAAGCTTAGACAGTCAAGGTCTTGCCAAGCCCTCTCACAAAGCCAATTTATTTTAATTTTCAACTTATTCATAAACACACAAATACTTGTGCATACATTATGTGCCAGGACCTTACCTTGGTGATGTAAATTATTTGCCCCTGGCAATTTAGTGACAGCTACTGAGGAAAAGGTGATGGTGTGTAAAGTGGATGCTATGATTTGAATGGGCATGCCTACTCTAAATTCATAGGCTGGAACTTCACCCCAGGGTCAGTGTTAAGAGGTGGGGCCTCTAAGAGGTGATTAGGTCGCCACAGCAGAGCCCTCCTGATGGGGATTAGTGTCCTTACAGAAGGCTGGAGGGAACTAAACCAGTTTGTCCTTCTGTTTCTTCCACAATGTGAGGACACAGAGGTCCATCTGGGAAGCAGAGAATGGTCCTCACCAGACCAGACACCAATGCCAGAGCCTTAATCTTGGACTTCCCAGCCTCCGGAACTGTGAGAAATAAATGTCTAACATGTATAAATTAGCCAGTCTCAGGTATTTTGTTACAATAGTACAAACGGAGCAAGGCAGTAAGTAGAAATCAACCGATTGGAAAGAAAGAAGTCTGGTAGAGTTAGGTTCATCAACAGTAAGAAAAAAGTGAAAAGAGAATAGGAAAGAAACGGCAGAGATCCTAAAGGCATGCACAAAAATTAACAAGGAAAACATCTAGAGGAAAGAACTTATTTTCAAACAGGGATAGCTAAGTGAAGTTGGGGCCATTCTTCCTGACCAAGAAGCAGGGACCTCCAGCAAGCTCTTTCCTTCCAGCCCACAGAAGAACCATACTCAACCTATACTGGTTACTTTCTCATTTGTGTTAACATAACAGATGAAATCTATTTGCTTTTCCTCCTTTTAGACAGCTTAAACATTTTAATCACACCTGCCGTTACCACCTGCACATCAAAAGCCCTGTGCCACTGCTGTTTATGTTGCTGCTAATAAACGATCACAATGCTTGCATTGTCTTTAGCGCGCTCTATCTAAGATAAGGAAGTACACACAACATTGTGGAATGGCAGCACGTTTTGGTTATGAAAGAGTTAAATGTCATTACACTGGAACATAGTGATGCTAAATAAAAGGAGATATCATTTCACCTCAAATGCACCTACAACTTTAAAATGGCATCTGACACCAACCTGGATTCTTCGGATGCTGATGATTGCCTCTGACACCTTCTCAATGGCTGCGGGGAAGAAGAGGGTGACCGTCAGCCGCACAGCCCCGTACAGTGTCACGGCCACGAACACGCGGCTGGCTGTGATCACGTTGCCAAGGAGCACGTAGGTGGTGAAGGTCACAAACACGATGATTTTGCTTGCACTGAAAAATGAGGCCAAATTCATCCCTCTGAGGTAGGAACTTCTCAGAATCTTGGAAATCTCCTTCCTGGAAGACAGTACAGGTTTTTTAAAAAGCAGTGATGTCAGCCACACAAAGTGGCTCACGCCTGCAATCCCAGCACGTTGGGAGCTGAGGTGGATGAATTGTTTGAACCCAAGAGTTTGAGACCATCCTGGGCAATGACAACAACAAAAAGGTGCAAAGGTGAGAGGTGGCCAGGAACTACCCAGAAAATCATAAGAAGTACCATGTGCTGGAATGCAACAGCTAATCAAATATTTAATCCAAAGCCAGAAAAACATTTTTTTTTTTTTTGAGATGGAGTTTCACTCTTGTTGCCCAGGCAATGGTGCGATCTCAGCTCACTGCAACCTCCTCCTCCTGGTTCAAGTGATTCTCCTGCCTCAGCCTCCCAGGCAGTGGGATTACAGGCAAGTGCCACCACGCCTAGCAAATTTTTTGTATTTTTACTAGAGACAGGGTTTCACCATGTTGGCCAGGCTGGTCTCGAACTCCTGACCTCAGGTGATCCACTTGCCTCAGCCTCCCAAGGTTCTTGGATTACAGGCATGAGCCACCATGCCCAGTCGCCCCCCAAAAATTCTAATAACACAAAGAACAACTAACAGTATTTCCATGCCTGTTTGGAATGAAAAATACTGATTGATAGAGTTTGGTCCAATATAGATATGCCCAGTCTCTATAACCTGTCCATTTGGCTACATTAATATAAATCAGAGTTTTATTTTAAACACCATTATTCTCAAATACTAACATCTTAGAATCGTTGTTGGGATTTGGGATATTCAGAAACATTTGGAATTTCACTTCTGTATTAGTAAGAAGCATACATGTTTTCTGTTTAAGAACATGGTAAATGGAAGACCAAGTGAAAATAACATTCTCCACCATTCTATTTAACCCAACTGCCACATGTGGGGAGTGGGACGGATTGTACTGAACCTCCCATAATGTGAACACATAGTAAAACTTCTAAAACCATTCAACAAGAATAGCAAATAGAAAAGTATGAAAATACGGTACAATGTATACAAAAACTTACTTTCTCAAATTGGTAACAAGATCTGAAAATGACTTCTCCCAGGCGTACATTTTTATTATCCTTATGCCAGTTATAACTTCATTCATGGTCCTGATCCTGGCATCCGTGAAAGTTGCAGTTTTACTCCTAAGGGGGACCAGACACGGGAGATGAGCCTGAGCGATCACAGCCTGCCCTTATCAGCGGCAGGCACAGGCAGGGACCCGCATCACATGATTCCCTAGAGCGCTTTTGCTTCCGTCAACACAGACAGGTCCTACTCAAAATACAAATAGAAAAAGACTTCGATTAGGAAGTCAACAATCTATCCCAACTCAATAAGTATTTTGGAGAATTTGTAATATCTGCTGAGGAAGACATGAAAATGAGTCAGATGTAATCTGTCCCCTGGAGGAGCTCACAGGTGGGCAGGGAAGGCAGAAAGGCACCCGCGCCTGACAGTAACACAGTGGGTGGAGTGTACTAAAATGAGAATGAAGTGCTGGGGAGCAGAAAAGAAAGGGCTGTTTGTTAACTCCACTGGGAAAGAGGAGAGCAAAAAAAAGCTTCAGAGGACCGGGAGCATTTGAATGGGGCCTCAAAGGACAAGGACTGTTTCTCCAGATGGCAAAGAGGGGAAGGTCCAAGTAGAAAATACACCATAAGCAAAAGCATAAAACAAAGAACTCAATGCACTTGCAACAGTGGCTCCTCTTGATCCAGCTGACAACCTTGACAATGACTCATTTCCAATTCACTGGGACCTGCTTCAAGTCTAATTTATTTATCATCATTAACCTCTTGACCAAAAGCTGTATTTTTTTTTCTTTTTTTTGGGGGGGGACAGAGTCTCACTCTGTCACCCAGGCTGGAGTGCACTGGCATAATCCTGGCTCACTGCAACTTCTGCCTCCTGGATTCAAGTGGTTCTTGTGCCTGAGTCTCCCAAGTAGCTGGGATTAAAGGTGTGTACCAAAACACCCAGCTAATTTTTTAAATTTAGTAGAGACGGGGTTTTGTCATGTTGGCCAGGCAGGTCTCCAACTCCTGGCCTCACGTGATCCACCTGCCTCAGCCTCCCAAAGGTGTCAGCTGCCACGACCAGCCGACAACCATATTTCTAACACGTACACTACTAGGACTGTGTGATTTTATAAATACATCATTAAAATTCACCCTGCCTTCGGGGAGCTTACAATTTAATGGAAATACTGAAGTAAAAATAACACACTTGTATACACATGTGAAAATAACTCTCACACAAGCACAGTAAAGATGTATGCAGCTAGAATGGAGCCTATGAAATATTTCAATCTATCGTTATTCACTATATGTTTCACTAACTTCTACATATGTGATTTCTGCTTAAGGACATTCTACTTATTGCGGCCACAGCGCCTGAATAGCTGGCTGGGAGGAGTCGGTGAATGCCTTCACCTTTCTCCCTTGAAGATTCGCCTTCAGCATAAGGATGGAGGCCCCCTTTGGCTAAGCCTGAAGAGCTGCAACATATGCAAAGAAGAGATAATAAAAGGCATTTAGTTTGTTTCTGAACAAAAGCATTGGGAAGACTGTGGATGTTACCAAATAGATATGACATTTTTCACACCGGTATTTCTCTTACCTCAGTGATGAGAACAACTTCCCGAAACAGCTTTGGAAGGGCAGGAGAATAATTAGAACTGCCATCCCAGCAAGGCACGATATTCCTATCTCCATCCAGAGTAGGGCAGTCACTGCGATCGCCTGCAGTGGCCCTGCCCACAGGAAGTGTAAGAACACTGTCACCTTTAAAGAAAAAGACAGAGCGTTCTTAGGACTCTAGAAAGGCAAATCAAGTAAGAACACAGTACAGAAACGATCCGCTGGAAAAGAACAGGCAAATCCTAAACAGAAATGACCACAGTGGGTTTACACCTGCTAAAGCAGAAATCCAAGCACCCACCACAGACGAAGCCATTCTGGGGAAACAAACAGCGGGTCTGGGAGACCTGAAAGAGAATCTGACCAGCGGCATTAGAAGATCTTGATCAGTGACTATCTCACTGATGAGCTGAGCAGTTTCCAGAACTCTCTGCCACAGAATTCAGCTCCCATATGCCCTGGGGCTCCCCAGTACCCTAAGAAAGCCTGTACTATAGTGCCCACCACATACTCCAGTAATTTACTTGTGTATTTGTCTCCCAGACAGGCGGTGAGCTTCTTCAGAACAGAAACCACGTCTTATTCATTGTCCCTGACACTGAGCGGAGGCTTTAGTTCGTGTCTATGAATGAATAATTGGAAAGAAAAAAAATAAAGTGGTCCTAGTGCAAAATGGACATGGCCAGCAGCTAGAATGCCCTGGATAACATGATACCTCCACAAGGTAAGTATTAAACAATGGACGCTGGGTGGGTACGGTGTTCACACCTGTAATCCCAGCACTTTGGGAGGCCAAGGTGGGAGAATCGCTTGAGGCCAGAATTTTGAGACCAGCCTGTGCAACAAGGCGTGATCCCTTCTCTACAAATAATAAAAAAAGAAATTAGCCAGCAATCCTTTTGTAGTTCATGAGCATGACAGTCGGGTGTTCATGCACATGTGTGAGATGTGCCACCCTTGAATTCTGTTATGACATTGCCACATTAGCCCCATCTGACATGAAAATTCAAAAGAAGAGAGAAATTAGCTGGGCATGGCGGTGCACACCTGTAGTCACAGCTAATCAGGAGGCTGAGGCGGGAGGATCACACATCACTTGAGCCCAGGAGTTCAAGGCTCCAGTGAGCTACAATCCTGCCACTGCAATCCAGTGTGAACACAGTGAGCCCCTGTCTCCAGAAAGAATAAAAGGGGGAAGAGGGGTGTTCAATGCAATGAAAAAGGATCCCTGAACTGCAGCTTACCTGGTCAAACTTGTTGACATCATTGGACAGCAGATTGACTATCTGGCCTGTGGTTGTCTTCCCCATGGCCATGTTACTAAGACGAAGTGCCTGAAATAAAAGAGGTAGGTAGAGAATTGTGTTCATACAGTGACACTAAGTCAGGCTTAGGACACAGCAGACCTGAGGAAGTCTTGTGTGATGGCAAGACCAAATAACCCAAGACAACAGCTCTAACGACCAGCATTTCAGCCCTCCCAGTACCTTTAGTGGTGGCAGCTGTGTCCTGCCAGGACAGCAAAGCGAGGGGTAGAAAGGAGAAGAAAAATCTCTCACCTCATTTAATGAATTTGGACATGCCCCCAAGTATAAAATGATGTAAGTTTCTACTTAAGAGCCAACCAAAGTAATTTTGAGCGAAATTAGAGAAGAACAGAGAGGCTGTCAAAACAATGAAATGAGAGGATGTGGACTATAAATCCGTACCAATCATTAATTCGATGTGCAACATAATTAAACACACGGGGCCTTAATCTCTTCACTCTGCCTGGATCACAGGGTTTCAATGTGATCAATGGGAAATGACAAATGTTTACAGAGCATCAACTATCTGGAGGACACCAGGAGCCCCAACAGATACGGTGACGCAGTCATGGGTTTCGCCTTGGGAAACAGGGCTAGGTATGTCCAGACACCTGTGATTCAACTGTGACCTGCACAGAGAACTCGGGGCAGTTCCAACTGAGGCACACTGGGTGGTAGAGACCCTAGACGATGAAGGAGGGACTTTAAGGAGGGAAGGGAAGGGTGCTACATGGGAGGCCTCGCTAGGACAGAAGTACGGAGAAGGGGGATGTGGGGGCTGCTGAATAAAGAACACCCCAAACCTGGCTGAAGCAGGTGAAGCTTATGGAAGGCAATATGGAACAGTATGTGTGGTTTTTCAAGTTAGAGGGAGAAACTCAAGGAAGGTTAAACAGTAGAAGTGATTGCCCAGGAGACTACTGGAAGAAAGAGAATGAGTCGCTGCTGCAATAACAGTCCAGGCAAGAGGCAACAAGACAGTCAACCAAGCTATGTGAATGGAAAAAAAAGGGACAGAGAGAAGTGAAAACACCTTTAAAAGTTAAAACATGGCCAGGCGCAGTGGCTCTCACCTGTAATCCCAGCACTTAGGGTTGCCGAAGGCAGATCACTTGAGGTCAGGAGTTCGAGACCAGCCTGGCCAACATGGTGAAACCCTGTTTCTACTAAAAACACAAAAATTCAACCAGGCATGGTAGTGTGCACCTGTAATCCCAGCTACTTGGGAGAATGAGACAGAAAATCACTTGAAGCCGGGAGGCGGGGGTTGCAGTGAGCCGACATTGCGCCACTGCACTCCAGCCTGGGCAACAGAGTGAGACCCTGTTTCAAAAAATAAAAAGAAAAAAGAAAAATTTAAAAATGCTATTATGCAAATATAAGTGAATCAATCATAACATACAAAGAAAGAAGAAAAGGTGCAGGTGAGGGAGAAGAAGAGAGGGAAGGAGAGAGACCAGCCTGCCCCTGTAGGAAAGAAACAGAACGTAACGTGCCTTACTAACTACAAACTATCTGTAAATACTTACAAAGCCAATCTTACATACAAGTATGTTAATCCCACACGCAGAAAATACACCACACTTTTAAAGCATGTTAATTCAATACCTAATTTTAACAAAATAAAAGCAAAATGTCAACACCAAACTGTAAGCCTAAGCTGACCCTTTTCAAGAAATCTGAAATCAACTGTGCCCAACTTGAACCATCATCCACAGATGGCATCTGCTGCCAACAATGAGGATTAGGTAAGATGGCACAGATGCCAATTTGTGAAAAAGACAAAGTTCTCTGTGTGCACCAGGAGGGCTACTTGTAATTCATGTATTACCAGTAGTAATACGTGACCAGGTATAGAGGTGGAATAAAAGTCTGGGCAGATACTCGGGTTGTAACAGAAGTTAACCCAAGTGAATGATAACTCTACTGCTAACTCAGAAATTAAGGATCTGCTGAAATAAAATCAGTCATACTCCAGATAGGATAAAAAATATCATGAAGTGCCATGAATATTATTAATGAGGAAGACATGCCGGGCACAGTGGCTCACACCTGTAATCCCAGCACTTGGGGAGGCTGAGGCAGGCAGATCACCTAAGGTCAGGAGTTCGAGACCAGCCTAGCCAACATGGTGAAACTCCATCTCTACAAAAATACAAAAATTAGCCAGGCATGATGGCAGGTGCCTGTAATCCCAGCTACTCGGGAGGCTGAGGCAGGAGAATCACTTGAACCCAGGAGGCAGAGGTTGCAGTGAGCTGAGATCGTGCCATTGCACTCCAGCTTGGGCGACTCAGCAAGACTCCGTTTCAAAAAAAATTAGGAAGACACAGCTGACAAGCAAACTGCCAGGCTGCTGCTTCCAACCATGAGAGAGGACTTGCCCTCCCCTGGAAAACTGTAACACCGAGCAAAACATATGACAGCTGTTTTCAGGCCCTGGACCAGAGGTAACACAGGACTGTGAGCCTCAAGAGACGGGAAATACAGGTGGTGGCCCGGGACTGACCTGGCTTTATGCCTGGGGACATTTTCTGCCCAAACAGAACAGCTTCACTGAGCTGTGGAAGAAGAAATAGTTGTTGCAAGTTGTAGAAGCATCTGGAATTTGTGAGCCTGAGTAGCAGGGGGTTTGCCCCAGAAGTTTCAGTAGGGATTTACTCAGGATACTTTGCCAATGGCTTCATAAGAAGGGCCAGATTCCATGAGACCTAAGAAAGCAGCAGCTATGGGGCTGAGTGCTGACCGAAGATTCTGGAGGTCATGCAGCAGGAGAGGCCACCCGAGGAGAGGAAGGAAATCCCCACTGGGGCCTCAGGCATTCAACTGAGACACCAGGAAGGCTATGTCTTAGTAATAAAGATCTCACCCTAGATTAACAGCTGTGCACTTGGAATAAGTTCAGAATGGAGTTACCCGCCCTACGATTAACTGACTGACAGACAGATGGATGGATTCAATGCTGAAGGGGCCAATCTGCCAGGAATTTAACTGCCTGCATGAACAAAACTCAATGCTCTTTAATCCAGACTCCCTATAGTATATCGATCATAATGTTCAACATAGTAAAACAATTACTAGGTATGCAAGGAAACAATAAAATGGGACCTGTAATCAAAGGAGGGAAATGGAAATAGAAAAAAAAATCTGAAATGATCCAGATTTTGGCATTAGTAAACAACAACTACGAAGCATCTATTATAATATGTCAAGGAGTTAAAGAAAAATATGGTTATAACAAGTACATATGATTTTTAGGAGCGAGATAGGTAATACCAAAAAGAACCAAATGGAAATTCTCGAACTGAAAAGGTAATACCTGAAATAAAAAATGAATTAGATATCATTAATAGCAGATACTTTCCATTGATCTATTCCCAGAATCGCTAACCCTTTCTTCTATAGTTTACAACTGAAATCTGAAGAACAAATAGAAAAAAAGAGTTAAGAAAAAGAACAAAGACTGAGGGTCCTTATGGGAGAATATTAAGCAATAAAATATTCATGTATTTGGAGTCCTAAAAGAAGAAGAAATAGGGGAAGAAAAAAATATTTGAACAAATAATGACTGGAATTTTACCAAAGTCGGTAGTAAATATTAATTTACATTATTAAGAATCTTAGCAAGTCCAATGAAGGACAAAAACAAAGATCTATACCTAGACACACATTAAACACAGAGAAACAACAAAAACAACCAGCAGCTGACACATCAGAAACAATGCAAACAAGAAGACAACAGAACAATATTTACAGTGCTGAAAGAAAGACAAAAACAACCGGCCAGGTGCGGAGGCTCACACCTGTATTCCCAGCACTTTGGGAGGTTGAGGCGGGCAGATCACTGGAGCCCAGGACTTCGAGATCAGCCTGGCCGACATGCTGAGATCCCGTCTCTACTAAAAATATAAAAATTAGCTGGGCACAGTGGTAGGCACCTGTAATTCCAGCCACTCAGGAGGCTCAGGCAGGAGAATCGCTTGAACCTGGGAGGTTGCCTGAGCCAAGATCGTGTCACTCCACTCCAGCCTTGGTGACAGAGTGAGACTCTGACTCAAAAAGAAAAGAACAAACAAAAAAAACCCTGTCAACTCAAAATTCTGTCACCAACAAAAAATGTCCTTTAAAATATGAGGGTGAAATTACGTCATTTTCTGACAGACTTTATCAGCAATGAACCTGAACTGTAAAAAAAACAGTGTAAAGAATACCTTTCAAGCTAAAAGGAGATGATATCAGATGGAAACTCAGATCTACAGAAAGAATACACAGAAACCAAAATGACCAATGTGAGTAAATGTAAAAGACAGGCTGGGTGTGGTGGCTCACGCCTGTTATCCCAACATTTTGAGAGGCTAACGCGGGCAGATTGCTTGAGGTCAGGAGTTCGCGATCAGCCTGGGCAACATGGCAAAACCCCATTTCTACAAAAAATATAAAAATTCTCCAGGGATCGTGCCCTGCACTTGTAGACCCAGCTACTCGGGGGCTGAATCGCTTGACGTGGGAGAATCACTTGAACCCAGAAGGCCGAGTTTGCAGTGAGCCAAGATCACATCACTGCATTCCAGCCTGGGTGACAGAGTGAGATCTTGTCTAAAAAAATAAAAAGAAAAAGAAGACAAATTACTTTGAAAAACAACTAACTGCTTAGAGCAAAAATGGTAATAGTGCATTTTGGATACAGAAATAAAATATATGACAATAGTACAAAAGATGGGGAAGGGTAATAGAATTTTACTATTGTATACTTCTAACCTTTAAGGTAAAATAGTCCTTATGTTGGGCCATCAGTAAACGTCAATCAATATCTGAACATAAAATTGTTACACAGAATGTATTCTGGTGACAGCAGAATTAAATTACAGATCAACAATAAGATATCTCTAAAAATATCTGAATATTAACATTTCTAAATAAGCATGTGTCAAAGATGACATCATAAGGGAAATCTGAAATATTTTAAAGTAAATGATAATGATAATTTGTGAGATATAGCTAAAGCAAGTCTTAGAGTACACTTTTGG